AAAACATACATCTACTGGACAGAAAAATTAGAATCAAGACTGTCATTCAAAATAGCAAAAAACATAAATCTCCAACACATAAAACCCAAAATCTGAAACCAGCACTAGAGAAAGAAAAATAGGAAGTTCTCCTTAGAGATGCAAATCTTAACTCAGAACATAGAAATACTATCAGATTCTTGGTATAGAAGACCTACTTCTCTCTAAATTACATGACTAATTCAATGGGCTTTGCAGGTATAAAAGTCATAAATTGCTTTCTCTAATTGAAAAAAGTGTGTTCAAATTTTATAAGGTAAGCAACTTGGAATTCGGAAGTGAGGAGTAGAGGTCACCCTCCTCCTGAAAAGAGGAGGGGCCTAGATCCTTCCTAGTACATTCACTTTTCTCCTTTTCCTCTTCCATTAAATTAGCAAGTTCTCAGATATTGGTATAACATGGACGAATTTGGCTAATTATGTGCTATGTGCATTGAGCTCTCAAGGCCACGCTGCTGTAAATAATCAGCCTGTTCTTTCCAGCTGTGTTGGACATAGCATAACATTCTATGCATGTGTTTCCTCTTCTCAGAGTAGTGGCCTGAACCAAGAGGCCCACACCTGTGTCTATCTTCCTGCCAATCCTGAGGACAGAGCCTCAGCCCTCATCCAACACAAGGTAGGAGAGGGGAGGCCAATTTACATTCCTCTGTCCTGCCCCAGCAGAGTGCCCAATGAGTGCCAATGAGTGCCAAGTGCAGTGGGACACACTGAACACAGGGAGGACTGGGAGAGCATGGTTTCTTCATCATCAAGACCAGCGGGACAGTTGGGACAGCCAGAGGGGAGGACACCAAAATCAAAGACTTAGCTCAGAGCCCTATAAAGTGTATATTGTTGGTTCTGATGGGAATCCTAGAACTCTGATTTAGATTTCTATTTTACTTCCACACTGGTTCTATTTTCCATAGACATCTTCCCCACCAGAGCAGGAAATAGGTCCCTCTAAACTGTCCCCTATGCACTCTAAATGATCATGAAGGTGATGACTATGATAATGATGAAAATAATTCAGTAATCAGTGTCACAAACCTTTACCTAGGGATTCCAAATGCTAGGTCCTGAGCTGTGTTTTTTATGTAGCTTGGTACTTTTGATCTGAATTACCACCCCCGAAAGAGACCAATGTGCATTGTCATCATTTTAGAGCTGAGGATAGGAGCACGTTTTTGTACATTTTTTAACAGGCTTTGGGATATAAAGGGGGAAAAGTCAGGTTTGAATCCAGACAGTGAACTCCATTACAGGGCACCTAGACAGTATTCCAGCCAACTCAACCTGCGTGTCTCTTCCCTGCTACTCCAGGCAGAAACACTAGCTCACTGTGCTCCTCCCTTTGTGGTTTGTGGTGACCACAGCCGAGAGCAGGCGGTTGAACCTGCTACATCAACTACAGGAAGGATGGCTTAGATCAAGGTGGGGACCACAGAAAAAGTCAGCTCCCGGCAATTCAGGGCAGATCTCTCTCTTGGATTTTGGCAGATCTCTTGGATTTTGCTTCATTGTCCACTTCCTCCTCCATTCTTGTAATTTAACCCCTCTTGATCTCTAAGGAGACATGAAGTCAGGATATTGGGTTCCTTTCTTAGTCAGGAAACAAGAAGTGTTTAAAAGGTATACCTTGAGAAATTTAGAAGAGATCTCTGGGCCTCTGCTTAAACTCTCTGAAGTGTAGAGAAACTGAGTGAACAAGTTCTGTGCATGGCCTCAGAGACCCACTATTTAATTTAAATTTAAATTTAAATCCATCTGTTCTACTTATTATCTGTGTGACACTGGGAAAGTCCTTAATAACTCTGAGCCTCTATGTTGTTATCTGAATTGATCTCCAGTTGATACAAGTATGTTCAGTATGAATTAAACAAAATGAGTACTGAACATGTGACTGAATATGTGATGGATGCATATAGTAAGGACAAAGTAAATTTTAGATATTATTATTATCATCAAGGCTAAGCACCATCTCTCCAACTAAAATATCCTCTGATCTGAAGATTTGGATTTCTTGAGATCGTGAGAGAATATTTTATTTCTGTCCTGATACAAGTAGATTTTGAATGTCTGAAGGGAAACAACTTAGTCTCATTCATTTCTGATTCCTCAGAGCCTATCATTGCTTGGCACAGAGTAGGCTACAAGAACAGCAACAATCTGAGTTGTATATTGCATAGACCCTTCCTTGGTTCTCAGAAACAGAGCATAGGCAATATGGCTTCCACATACTGGGCTCTTTCTTGCCTGTACTTTCATTCCTTTCAACGATGCTACATAGGACTAGACAAAAGATAAAACAGTGCTTGTATCTATGTCATGGATTTTCTAAGGGATGGATCATTTTCCATTTAATAGAATATACAACATTCAATTATAAAAAAAATTGTGGAGATTTTCATAAAAATGAAAAATAGAGAAAGGGAAGTAAATATTATTGTGTGGACTGAGACACATATTAGGATTTCCATTCACTCTGTGAATGAATTCCCTGGACATGATAGGCATCTAACTCTCTGCCATATAATAGAATAAATGGTCATTAAAACTTTCTTGGGATTGTGTTTCATCTATAAACCTACCATTCCAATAATGATTCTAATTCTGGTTTAAAACCATGAGTGGATATTTATGAAGTGCAACCCTCTGTTACATGCTACATATATCCTAGAAATGAATATTATTCTCCCCATTTCTGGCTAAGGGATACCAGCACAGAGAGGTGGAGAGACTGACCAAACTCTACATTTAGTGGGTGTAAGCTATGGGATACAGACAAAGGTCTCCTGCCTGCCATCCCAGGGCTTTGTCCTCTTGAATAGAGTGTAATGATTGTTTTCTTTTGAAACCTACTTTAGTCCCAGGTGAAAAAACAGAAGCAAAAACCATAGGTTCTTTCTCTTGGGATTTGGTGAGTTCATTTGTGAATTAGGGGAACGGGTCAAGTGGTTTACAGGGGACATTAGTGCATGAATATTGTAGATCACAGGGTTCTCTATAAATAGTAATGCATTTTGCAGCCCATTTTGGAAATCTGACATGTGGAAATATTATTTCTAATAGAAGATGGGAATTTTTATGTGGACCTATCATGGAAAGACCATTGCATGACAGACTTGAAGGATCTTTCTGATTCCATACCTTGACAATAAGAGCATGCAGTTGATTTTGTCTAAATTTTCTTTTGGGAAAATAAATGTAGATAATTAACAGTAAAATTGCACATGTATTAATTTTAACAATTATCTTTCATGCATATATCTTGTGGAAATTCTCACTTGTGTGATATGGAGATGGACACAAGAATTTTATTAGGAATATTGTAATAAGAAATTGAAAGATAAAATGAAGTTTATCTCTCAGGTAATACTACATCATTTAAATTGTTTGAAATAGATGTGTGTACTTCATAGAGACTTGAAGTACGATATTTTGGTCAATGAGAACTTCTCAGGAAATAACTTGTGTATTATAATAGTACTTAGGTAGGTTTTCAAGAAAACTGTTTATGAATACATAAATCAATACTGATATAATGAAACATTGAAGATGTTAAGAGAAGAGGATGTTCAGTGGAGGAATATTCTCAGGGCTCCCACGCAGAATTCTAATATGTTTCTCCAAGATTCCCATCTCCTAGTGTGCACACTTTCTCCCTGTTATTCAATAAAACCCTAACATAGGTGCTTCTAGGAAGGGATTTTGTAGGTGAAATTAAGGTCCCAACTCAATTGACTTTATTTATTTAATAATTTTATTTATTTATTTTCCCCCCAAAGCCCCAGTAGATAGTTGTATGTCATAGTTGCACATCCTTCTAGTTGCTGTATGTGGGACACGGCCATGAGGCTGGAGAAGTGGTGCGTCGGTGCGTGCCCGGGATCCGAACCCGGGCCGCCAGTAGTGGAGTGCGCGCACTTAACCACTAAGCCACGGGGCCGGCCCTCAATTGACTTTAAAATAGGAGATTATCTGGATGATCTTAATGTAATCATATGAGCCCTTAAAAAACAGAGTTTTCTCCAGCTAGTCAAAGAAGAGGAAGTAGGAGATTTGAAGCATGAAAAAGATTTGACATGTCATTGCTTGCTTGAAGAAGGAAAAGGTAATGTGTTAGAGAATGAAGAGAGCCTCTAGGAGTTAAGAGTTTCCCTTGGTTGACAGATATTACGCAATAGGGACTGTGGCAAGCAGAGTAATAGACCCCAAAGATGTCCATTTCAGAGTCCCTGGAACTTGTGAATATATACCTTACATGGCCCAAGAAACTTTGCAGATGTGACTAAAGATCTTGAGATGTGGAGATTATCTTGGATTATCCAAGTTGGCCCAATCCCAACGTAATCATGAGGATCTTTGTAAGAGGAGGATCAGACGGAGATGTGAAAATGGAAGCAGATGCGAGAGAGAAAGACAGAGAGAGAGAGAGAGAGAGAGAGACTGACTACACTACTAGCTTTAAAGATATAGGAAGGGGGTTAGGGACCAAGGAATGCCAGTGGCCTCTAGAAACTGGAAAAGACAAGGAAATGGGTTCTCTCTTAGAGCCTCTAGAAGGAATACAGCATTGCTGACCCATTTTACACTTATGACATCTAGAACTGTAAGATGATAAATATGTGTTGTTTTAAACCACTTAGTTTGGGCTAATTTTTATAGCAGCCGTAGGAAACTAATACAGGGACCTCAGTCCTATAACCACAAAGGACTGAATTCTGTTAACAACCAAAATGAGTTTAGTAGCAATTTTTCCCTGGAGCCTCCAGATGAGAATTCATCCTGGCTGCCCCTTGATTTCGGTCTTGTGATGCCTTGACCAGAGAACCTAGGTAAGCCATGTCAGATTTCTGACCTACGGAATTGTGAGATAAAAAAAGTACATTGTTTTAAGCCACTAATCTTGTGGTAATTTGTTATACAACTATAGAATACTGAGCCAAGTACATCAAGCTGTAGACAAAGGGGTTCAGCATGGACATGACCATGGTCCACTTCACTGAAGCTATTGAGCTTCTCTGTGAAGAATGGATCACAGCAGAAGTGAGGTGTACCCCCAGGCCTGTCCCATAGAACAAGGAGTACAAGAGACTTGACCCCCAGAATCCCATTGTAAGAAAAATGAAATTCATGAGAAAGATCCCTATTTTGGGAAAGAGAAGGCATCCATTAGTGATATTGCTACAGAAAAATCAAACATTTGAATACAGGAAATATCCCTTAGAATTAATTGGGATATAGGTTACTGCAGACCTCAGGGAGAGCAAATGTGATGGAGGTAGAAAGACTCCAGACGAATTGGTAGAAGAGAGAATGAGCAGAGTGGAAATGGACGTGGCAAGTGTAAATCAAAATCTCCAAAAGTTTGAAGAAATACCCAAAGGGGAGGATGGGTCTACGAATGAGCTTCACTTTCATTGAAAGAAATGGGAATGTGGAACATTCCTATGACATTTGACATTATAACATTGCATGCACACATTGGAATACACAGGATCAAGAAAAGATAAGGGAGAGCATAAGTTCCTGCGAAAGTTAGGAAGGGATGGAATTCAAATTTCAGGTGTAGTTTGTTAACAGGCAGTCATCAATAAAATAATTATAGAAATAATTATTTAATTACAATAGTGTTTAATGTTGTGATGGATGGTGTAGTGTCCAATGAGAGCACATATCCAGTGAGGCCTATGACTGAGAACTGAAGGATCATGGGTAGTATTCAGCCCAGCATCGCTTGTCTTCCTATCTCCCAACTATCTCAACAGGAACTTCTCCCTCTTTCTGTATAATTGCTTGATTCATACTGCCGCCCGTACAAACTGATGAACACCAGACCAATACATTTGACCTGAGATAATAGCACCAATGGGGTGTTCTGTAGACCCCTCAACTCAACCTTTCCAAGATTAAATGAATGTTTTATCCTTCCTATAATGTTGCTTTCCTATTATCCCATCACTTTGAAAGCTAACACCATCAACTCTGGCACCCATGGAATTGTTTTACTCGTGTTCTCAATCACGTTTATTTGCCCCCTACAGAACAATAGGCAATGTCTAGAGACATTTCTCATTATCACAACTCCATGTTTACATCTAGTGAGTAGAGGTCAGGGATGGCGTTAAACATCACGTAATACACAGGACTGACCCTTATAACAAATAATACAGAACAAAAATCTCAGTATTGCTGGGGTTGACAAACCAAAATCTAGACTGCTGAGGAATAATATTAAAAATTTTAACCTAAAAAAATCCCAACCATTCTCTATTATTTTATACGATATTGAAAATATCTCAAAAAAATGTTTTCAAAATGAAATAAAGTCATACATGTGAAGAAACAAGCACAGTCTTGATGCAATAAGCACTTTGTTGTGATGACTGTATGATTTTCATTCCCTTTCTTCTAGAGAAAACAAGCAAACAACCAAATGAAAGTGAAGAACATCAACATTTGAGAGGACAATTTTGGGGGAAACCAAGTCAACACTTGATATGATAAGTGCTTTAAAGCTAAAGTTAGAACTCTTAAGAATGGCTACAAGAAAGCAGACCAAACACAGAAATTTATGGATAGCATATAGGGAGGAAAAGTAAAAAAGGAATTACTGAGAGAGTTGTTGAGGAGAGACTAATACAAAAATAAATAAAAGTGAAGTCATGGGTGCTTTGGGAATAGAAAAAAACAAGCATGTGTTTTAGGGGAGAAAAAGAATCAGGTGATTTAAATTTTCAACCTTTGCCTTTGGGGCCCACAATGTCTACTAAATTCTGAGGTCAGTGACCCATCGTGAACAAGAGGTTGCTCAGGTGAGGCGCCTTCCCAGGGCCCCCTTCACATCCTTGTTCCTCAGGCTATAGATGAACAGGTTCAGCATAGGAGTGACCACACGGTGTACATCACCGAGGTTATGGAGCTTCCCTGGGAAGAACAGGTCACAGGAGAGCTGAGGTAGACCCCCAAGCTTGTCCAATAATACAAAGACATTCAGAGAGTTGAGACCCACAGGTGGAAAATGCTTTATATTTTCCTCCTGCAGAGGACATCCTCATTAAGGAGGAGACAATCTGAAAGTAAGGAAAGAGGATCCCAGTGAGAGGAAATGCACACAGCAGGGCAGTGGCCACATACAAGGAGATGTTATTGAACAGGGTGTCAGAGCAGGCTAATTTGAGAACCTGAGCCAGTTCACAGAAGAAATGTGGAATTTCAGTGCCTACACAGAAGATCAGTCACATCATCAGTAGAATATGAAACAGGAAGACAGATAAAATGATCAACCAAGACCTCAGAACCAGGAGGCCACAGAAGCGTGGGTTCATGATGACCATGTAGTGCAGGGGGTGGCAGATGGCCACAAACCAGTCACGGGCTATCATAGTCAGGAAGAAACCATCCATTCCAGCATGAACCATAAAAAATATACCTGAATGAGACATCCTGTGCAGGATATGTTGTTGCTCTGTGTCTGGATGTTCACTAGCATCTTTGTGATGGTGGTGGAGATGAAGCCGATGTTGACAAAGGACAGGTTGGAGAGGAAAAAGCACACGGGGGTGTGGGGATTTGAGTCGAGCTGATGGCCAAGATGATGAGCAGGTTCCCAAGCATGGTGACCATTTACATGGACAGGAACAGTCCAAACAGCAGGGGCTGCAGCTCAGGATCCTCTGAGAGATCCAGGAAGAGGAATTCTGATACTTCCATGTGGTTTCCTGCTTCCATGTCGCTGGTATGTCTGCCAGATAAAGAGGCAAAAGCAATGTTCAATGAACATCCAAATGGCACCTCAACTAGTCAGCACCTCTTGATTCCACCTTTGAGTGGACAAATTTTACCCTCTGTTGAGTTTTCACAATGACAGTGATTCATTCAATCAAGTGGTGTTCCATTTCAATTTTAAATGTATCTAACCATTTAGACTTTAATTAACAGAAATCCTCTCTCTCTTTTTATCTCCTACACACTAGTTCTAATTCTGCTATTTGAATTTATGGACATAAACCAATTTCTTCTTTGATATGATTCTTCCAAAAAATTGAATACAGGTAAAGTTTATTCTTTGATAATCTCCATACTTCCTTCATTCTAATAACTCTATAATAGTGGTTAAGACATGGGTTTTCAACTCAAACGATTTTAATTCTGTGACCTGATGCTTTACATGATGTCACAAATAACTCTCATGTGCCTTTATTTTTTCTTTATAAAGATGTGGTTACTGCTATTACCTTCTTTGAGAGATTTATAAAACCTTTGTGCACAGCAGGATCTCAATAAGTGATAGCCGTTACTATCATTGTTAATTTGTTCCTTTTATGACAATTATTATTTTTTATATATAAAGGAACCAAAGTACAATATAGAGCTGTGATTTAGAAAATGGGATCTTGAGTCAGACTTCCTGGGATAGAATTTTGATCCACTAACTTACTATCTGTGTGACCTTCAGAAAATTATTTAATCTCTCCTAGCTGCATTTACTTAACCTCTACAATGGGAGTAGTAAATATCCCCTACATTGTAAGACTCATGAGTGAATTAAATTAGATGATGAAAGTAATTTATTTTGTAGTTCCTGTCACATACCATGCCAGTGGACACTTGATAAATGTTAGTTTCCCATCTTAACATCACGATAAATCTGTCTTGCATGGGTATCACTTATCAAAGTTCCCTTAAACTAGGGAAGTCATCAAAGATGGAATTCTGATCATTATAAACACCTCAGGTCTGTTACCTCTTTGAAACACCGTGCAGCACTAATTAACAAAAGATCCCTATGGCTCCCTCTTTCAGAGACTGCCTGCCAGATGGATTCTTCCAAGAGGGAGAAGCATGTAGACTACATAGATAAGAGGAGGCAATAAAATTATAAAATTATTAAAATAATATACAAAGCATGTGTGAGAGTATGTGCTCATGTGTGCATGCTCGGAAGTGGGGATGTGATGTATTAACGATCAGTGCAGTTAATTGTAAAAAAATTATATTAATAGATTTGATTAAAATATTCAAAGCTTCTAAAAATCAAATCATCCTAAAAATTAAAAGGCAAGTTTAAGATTTGAAAATAAATGTTTACATTATCCATGACAGAAAATACTGCAGTGATATTAATGTCTAGAGAATGCTAATTAATTAAAGAGAGAAAAAATCATTAAGGATTAATTTAGTCTGGGAGCATGGGTAGAAAAGGCTTCTCTGAAATATGAATATTTGAGCTGTGAGAGGAAGGATGTGTAATAGTTAACCAGGGGAAATAAGGAAAGGGCGAGCATTTTGGGCTGAGAGAAGAGAATTCATGACTGCCCTGTGGGTTGGTGAGCTTGGGAATGGAAGGGATTTGAGAGGCCAGTGAGATGGAGAACAGAAAGTGAGGGTCAGGAGGCCAGAGTGGATGAGGCCCACAAGTCCAGCATCCTGTACTATCCCTCGATGTTGGTAATTTTATTTTTATTTGTGGGTCAGAGGATGTGACTGTGTTTGCTCACTATCATCTTTCCAGTGATTTACATGGGGCCTGGCACATAATAGTTGCTCGAAACACAAATGTTAGATGTATAATAAAGATTGAGACCAAAAGCATCAACTATGATTCATAAAAGAAATCCTCAAGCTCATATATGCCTGAATATAGACACAAAATAGAATAGTAAAGTTAAATATAATGCATTCATATCTATTTTAAAAGAATAACATATCATGAATAAGTAATATCTATTCTAGGAATGGGAAGTTGGTTTAATACTGTGACGTTTGTTAACATAATTCATCATGAAAATAGGTCAATGAAGAGAAATCATAACCATAATCACAGCACAAAATGTATTTGAGAAAATGTAAGAGCCATTACCAGGTTAGCAGCCAGGGTGGAGCCTCTCACTAAATGGGGAAACCAAAGGCAATTTCTAAACCCAATAAAGAATGGTAGTTTTAAAACTGCAGCCAACAGGATATTCCACAGTAAAACACTAAAATATTTGTGTTAAATTCATGAACAGACCAAGGAAGTCTGCTCTGATTTCAATCACACAATAGTCTCCTGAACATTTAAAGAGATTGGTAAGATGAGAAAAGGAAATTGGCCTGAGTACTGAATGTCAGAAATAATTACATTATTTGAAAATGATATTGTGGACACTAAGGTGAGAAAACAAGAACAATCAATACAGTCAGTCAATACAGAACTATTAAGAGCTATCAGTTGATTTTTTTAGAAAAATCCAATCACATGAGGACTAAAATAGACAATACCTGGTGCATCATAATAGATCTCCAGTGAGTAGTTAGTGAATAAATAATTGGACACAGGAAATCCAACAGGAGCCTAGAATTCTGGGAAAGACTAGAGAAGTGGTGGAGACTCTCTGGAAAATAACTCTCATCGGAGAGGGGCTTTAGATTCCAAAAAGAGAGTGAAGGAAACAGAACAAGAGCTGGAAAAGACTGGTTTCAGTAGAAACTACAGTACCTTCAAAGTATAGAGACTTCACCATCATAGACTCAATCAATATGGGACTGTCCCAGTTTCATTACTCTAGGGGTAAATCCCAGTACCCACTTTCTCTCCTCTTTGCCTTCCTACTCCACCAGCCCTCACTGGGACACACTAACTGTCTCTGATGGTTATCACTGAATCTTTCTATTCTCTGAGGTCTGTCTCTGGGAAGCCCAATTGGGTTTGCATTTGGCTGAGATCAGAGAAGTATAGGTAATGGGCAACACAAACAAGTTTAAAGTTTTCAGTCTTTGAGGGTTGAATTTTCAGAGCTTCTCATTAAATAAATTTTTGTACTGACTCTATTCTCTCCAAATAATTCAGCTGCCTTGGGGTACAAAGATAAGAGAAAGGAAAATTTTCAGCTAATGCTGTGTCTGCACAAGCAGCAAAGGTTGGCAATGAGTTTATTTTCTTCAAGGAGAGACTCTTCTTTGTTTGATTTGACTTAAATATTATAAGATGTTTCCTAAAGAAAGTTTAATTTCTAAGGGAACCAAACCCAGGAACCAACTTTCTGTGATGTTCTTCCCTTGAAGAATCTTGGGATATTTTATGGATCACTTGGTGCCCACAACGTCATGGAGAGAAAGAGGTCCTTTCTGAAGAAAAGCAGAGTGGTTAACAGTTTTGGTTTTGTTGAAAGGACTAACCAAGTGAGGACTGGAAAACATCCCTTGACATTTGCTGGTGACATAGAGGCCTTTGTTGATATAGGGAGGGCTCCATTTCTTACCTCTACATGGAGGGACAGGGGAGGAAATCATCCAGATAGAGTGGGTTGAAGAGTGAGTATTGAGGAAATATAGGTGGCAAGTATAAATCATATATAAAGTTTGACAGGGAAAAAGAGGACAGAAGTAAAACATAGCCTAAAAAGAGTATCAAGTAAGGGAGAGTTAAAAAAAAATTAATGGAGCATACAGAAAGACATTCCATTTCAAAGAGAATGATCATATTTCATGCAGGCATTTGAATACACAGGAAGTACTCACTACATAATTCACAGCTTGCAGTCTACGCTCTAAATCAACGACAATCATAATGTGATGTATCTCCAGTTTAGGGAACACAGGAGTCCAGAAATCAAGGGTTAGAAGTAGAGGTGGCTGCACCTAACGTCACTCCCAGTGAGCCACTTGGGGAGTTTGTGCTTCAAGTCTCCACACCTCTGGCTTCTGCAGGTTTAGAGGTCTTGACTCCTAAAGGGGTAACAAATCCAGAGACATGGCAAAATCCCATTGAACTTCTACTGCCTGGCACTTCATGTCCTCATGCCAAGAAGAGTCATTACTGTCCTGGCAGGGAAACTGATCCTCATCATCAATTCATTGTGTGACCATGGCAATAGGCATGCACTGGTACTCTGCTGTGCTCAGTCAGTTGCTGGGAGCAGCCCAGGAGCAACCTCAGTGCGAACACAGTGGTGGATAAAGATGTCTGTTGGTCA